ACCCCCGGGTCTACAACATCCACAGTCGCGATGTCACCAGGTACCCTGCCAACTCCATCGTGGTTGTCGGAGGCTGCCCCGTCTGCAGGTAAGCCTTACACGGTGGGTTGGGGGAGCAGGCGGGGCTGGACTTGGGGTGCTCCTGATGGGAGGGGGTGCTTCCACACTCGGAGGGCAGTTGCTCTCTGTTTCTGAGCCTGCCAGGGATTCAGGTTGGGGTCCCCTGCTTGCAGCGTCCTGTGGTGGGGTGCTCAGGTGGCGGGGTGTCTTGTTAAGCCCACAAGGAGGAGGCATTTCTGTGAAATGGGCCTGAAGCCCCTGGCGGCCGAGCCCGTGGTTCCTTGTAGGGTAGGAGGGTGCTCATCTCCGAAGGGGGGACGCCTGTGGAAGCTTCTGGGGGTGCCTCACGCTGCTGGGCCTGGGCCTTCAGACCTGGAGGCCAGTGCACGGGGCACCGTGAAACCCAGGACCAAGTTGGCGTGACACTTCCAGGCTGCGGCCAGGAAGGGCGGCACGGACTGAGGTGGCAGCCAGCCCCGGCTGGGACTTGGTTTCAAGACCTGGGTTTCGTTTTATAAGTGAGGCTGGAGTTGTGGGAAGAGGGCGGGGGGCCTGGAGCCGTGTGTGATGAGGGCTCAGGTGAGAGCCGCCTTTGTGCCTTGTCCTTGGGTGTGGGCCAGAGGAGTGTTTTGGGGAACACTGTTTGCAAACTAAGTACTGGCCAGGGGCTCTGTCCACCAAAGAGGAAAGAAACCTGGGTGCTTGTCCTCTGCCCACTGGGTACAGGGTGTTGGGCACATGGCAGCTTTGTGGGGCTCAGAGCCAGTCCTGAGTGGAGAGCACCTCTGGCAGTCCTTTTGGGGTGTTGTCTGATGAGGTGAGAAGGCGTGTGGGGTCCTGCTCAGGTCCAGCTCGGCTGGTCTCCTGTCTGGGAATTGTCTCCTTCTGACCTGAGCCCCTGCTCTCTGGTTGGGGGGCTCCCCAGCTTGTCTCTTTGTGGGAGAGGAGCATTCCACCATAGAGTGTGAGGCCAAAGCCGGAGCAGGGACCGGCTATGCCTGGTGGTCCTCGACGAGGGCCGGGCAGCAGGGTGGCACAGGCCGGGAACAGGCCTTGCCCTTGTCACCTGTGGGTCTCTGCCCCCGTGTGGATGAGGAGGGACCCTTCTGGAGGATCCTAGCCCCTTATTGTTTCCTGAGGGCGTGGCTCCTTTGTCCCCACCTGGGATATTGGGCCCCTCCTCAGACCACAGCACTCTCAGGTTGTCCAGAGGCCTTTCAGGTGATTGGGCAGCCCGAGGACAGGCTTGTGAGGTGGGTACCCCTCACTGGCTCCTGGGGCCTGCCATCTGGGAGAGGGGTGGAATGTGTCCCCAGGTCAGGTCTCATTGGGCAGGCACTAGCAACAGGACCTGGTCCCAGCCCGCCAGGCGCTGCCCCATCTCTCAGGAGCTTGGCACACACTGGCAGGAGTCACACGCCATCGCGTGGTTCCAGCGACAGGGCTTGGCAGGCTCATCGCCTCGTCACTGCTTTCTGGCTGGGTGGCTGGACTGTGCTCTCCTGTCCCCTCCCAGTGTCCCTGTCTCCCCCTGGCAAGTTCCGCCCCCTCCTAGTATATACCCTGACCACTCCAAGTGTGCCCCATCCTTTCACGGCGAGTCACGTCCACTCCTGGTGTACCCTGTCTCTGCCTGGCATGTCCTGTCCTCTCCTGCCATGCCTCATACCCTCCCGGTGTAGCCTGTCCCTGTGTACCCCATCCCCACCAGGCTTGTCCACTCCCGTTATACCCCATCCACTCCCAGCAGGTCTTGTCCTCTCCTTGTGTATGCTGTTCCCTCCTGGTGAGCCCCGTCCCCTCTGCATGCTGCAGCTGATTTCTGCCTGGGTGGTGCGGGTGCCTGGGGGGCGGGGGGAGGAGAGGCCCTGGGCGGCCTCCTGGCTGGGTGGGTCCTGGGGTAGGAGCACGATACCTGGGGAATCCCAAGGGGACAGTTAGGGAGGGCAGGACACTAGGAGCCCAGGACCCAGGTGGAGCTCAGGAGGCAGCAGTCAGGTGGGGTTGGTCTGGGAAATCTGCACTGTGGATCCTCGGCTAGTGGCCCTGGACCGCAGGGTACTGAGGGTTGTGGGCTACACAGTGGTGGTTGTGAGTGTGGTGATGACCCAGAGGTCTCTGGATGGTGGTGTGGTGTGTGTGGGGGGCGTGTGCAGGCTGTCCTGGGGTGCCCCTGCTAGGAGCTCTGCAGTGGCCTGCCATGAGGGCTTGTGGTGCCTGTGGTCCTCAAGGCAGCTTGTGGGCTTTGCTGGCTGGGCCCCCCAAGCTTTGGCCTGTGCTGCACCTTGGTCTCTCTGGCAGCTAGCTCCATAATGGGTGGGGGTGGGGGGCACAGGTGGGGGCCTCTGGACCAGGCTGGGTGTGATGCTTCTGGTGTCCAGGAGGTCCTGGGATGGGCGGCTGCTCTGCTAGGTTCTAGGGAATGCCTCCTCACCCCTAGGGCAGCATTTGGGAAGTGGGACCCAGGACCCCAGGTGGGATAAGGAGACTGGGTGAGAGGGAAGGTGGGAGTAAAGAGGGGTCCATGGAGGGTCTGCACCTCTGTGCCCACCTGACTTGTGGCTGTGTGTTCTCCTGGTCTGACCCAGCAGGGAGGGAGCTGTCACTGGGGATGTGTTGGTCTGCTGTCCCGAGGCTGTGCTGCCCACTGGGGAGCATGGACGGGCTCCCCACGACCCTGGGTCTTGACACCTCAGAAGGCGGGAGTACTGTGGCATGTGTTGTGGTGGACAAGGGCCTGCCTGATGGGGACGCTGCCTCTGCCCAGCTGTTGTCAGAGGTTCAGGAAGTGTTTTTGGAACTAGTTCCCCAATTTCTGAAGCTCCCACAGTCACTCCCCCCCCCACACTGTGGTAGGGGCGGGGCCCTGACTGGGCCTGCCCCTCACCCGCAGGGCGCCCTGAGCTCGGTTTTGATGGGTGTTCACTTGGTATTGGGGTGTTTGCAGGGCTCAGTCCCTGCTCTTTGTGTTGGTCCCATGGAGAGAGGGTCTTGGGGGTGTGTAGTATAGAAGCAGCACAGTAATGACAAGTGGTAGTTTGAGGCAGCCCATCATTCAGCTAAATGGAATAATTTATTGTGGAATAGTTTGGGTTCAGTTTTCAGAGTGTCTGAATGTTCCTCTATTTTAAGAATTTTACTTCTGTTCACACCTCGCTCTGTGCTCTGTGGATCCTCAGTGTGTCCTGATGACCAGGCTGGTGGACGTGTGTGACCTTTGCCTGGCGCTGCAGGTCTCGGTGGCCAGGCCCTGCGGGGACTGCTCTGTGGTCCCTGTCACGCTCTTTTGCTGCAGGCAGTGAGAAACCCGAAAGGAACACACTGCTCTGGTCTTGATAGAAACCAGCAGCCGGGTCTGTGCTGCAGCCACTTAAGGGCTGAGCGCCCCCTGGCGGCCTCCCTGGGGCCTGCGCTGCCCACTTCTGGGGTAGGTGGGGGTGGGCTCTGCCTGGTGGGCGACTCTCCCCCTGAAGGATCATGGAAATCACTCTGATGCACCTGCCCACTTGGGCGTTTTTCCGAGTCTTCGGTTGCTCTTTGACCCAAAAGGTGTTGGGTTTAAGGCTGTAAATGGTGCCTCCACCCTGGGGTCAGGGGTGGGCACTCGGTGGACCTGGTGACTGGTGCTACACCAACCCAGCTCCCTGGCTCACATGCTGCTGCATCCTCCCAAATAGTGGGGTGTGTGGGCATTCCAACAGGCTCTCTTCCTGTCCCCAAGTCTGTCAGCAGCCCTCACAGCTCTGTGTCCTTTCTGGGGACATGGGCTTGGGGCCCAGATGGGGCAGTGAGTGGGGGCTGTCGGGGTGGTGCCATGCTGTCTCCTCCGTTCTGACCAGAGCCTCCTGGGGTGTGCACCCCTTTGCTCTAGGTAGGACCCCCCCCCAGTATGCTCAGGCCTCGGAGGGAACAGTAGAGTGGCACGTTGTCACTTTACACCCTGGTGGTGGCTAGGGTGGTTCACAGGCTGTCAGGGAATCCTACGAGAGTAGCTGCAGGTCTGGCTCCAGCCCATCTGTGGGGCGCCCCCATGGCCCTTACTGGCCGTGTGGACTCAGATGTCACCTGGAGACTTTCCCTCCTGTGTTTCTTTCACTGTGTCCAGCAGGTGACATCTGTAAAGGCTACGAGGGCAGATATGGCTGGAGGAGCAGGTTGGTTCCAGCCGCCTCCAGCTTTGGGAAATGACCTTTGATCTGAGAGGTGACCTTGTTCCACATGACTTGGGTATATTACAGATTAGTGTTTCAGAGATAAAACTGGACAGTTTTTTGGCAAAGGCTCTGAGATTGAACCGTGTTGCAGTGTGGTCCTCCTTCCCGGCCCCTAGTGACCACATGCTCATAGTGAGACAGTCTCACCAGACTTGCTCTGAGGAGCAGCGTGGCTGCACTTTGTCTACAGGATGTTCAGGACTCTTAGATCAAAGGCTTCCATAATTCTTGGTCTTCCTTACTTGCTGTCCCACAGTGACATTCATAGGAGACAACTGAGACACCATGACGTGGGTCACGCGCACCTTAGTGAGACCTGCGTTAGGCCGCCGTGGTCTGCTCAGTTTTGGTGGAGATGCCAGGATTTGTGCAGGAGCCATGCAGGCCCTGCTGCTGCAACCTGAGAGGGAGCGGCCTGCACCTTGAACGCTCACTGATCCTGGAGGGCTTTCTCGCCCCGTCTGTGTACAGGCGGGGCCTGGGCCCAGCATGGTACTAACCCTGCCCCTCTTGTCTCCCTAGAGTTGGGGTCCTGGAGGACTCCTTCACATTCCTGGGGATCTTCTTGGCCATCATCCTGTTCCCCTTCGGGTTCATCTGCTGTTTCGCCTTAAG